TGAAACACATCCGAGAATTCTTCTGACTGCCCCAGATCGTTTTCACGCCATTGGGGGTCGGGAATTTGACACAGAGATGATATGTTGAGGCGACAGCTCGCATTAGATTTAGCCACGGCGTTCCCATTATGACGTTGTAGATGGTAGGTTGATCAGTGACCGAGAAGTTGACTATCTTTGTCACCCCGCCGGCTCGGACTGGTAATTGGATGGTTCCAAGCGTCATTAAAGTTTCTCCTGAAAACCCAAGGACTGGCCTCGGGGTCGGAGTTACCTGTGACATGTCGATGTTCATTTGTCGGAGCGTCTCGCAACAGATCACGTCGATGGTGCTGCCGGTGTCAATTAATACTCGGTAAATATCATGGTCTCCTATCGCTAATGTGACGACGATTGGATTGTTATGAGGCATGTCGAGCCCGTTTGTCTCGCTTTCTTCGAATGTGATCACGTCGTTAGGTCGATCAAAGCGTCTTGTCCAGTTGCTAGGCATCTCAGCTCGGCGTTGATAAGCTTTGATTGCCGCTACGGTGTCAGGACAGTATGGCGATCCACCCATTATGGTGAGAACCTTCTGCCGCGTACCATCTCGGTCTTCGTCTTCCGTTCCCCGGGTTCTTTTCTGAGACTCCTGGTTCCTTGGTTCGGGGTCTCTTCCCGGGTTGGTCTGCTCGGGCTCTGGCTCTGGCTCGAGGTCCTTAAGAGTGACGTTCGTCCCGAGCTCTCCAGCTAGGAATTTGGTTGCTAACTTAGCGCCGAGGCTTCGACATCTCGAGGTATGGTGGCCGAAAATTTTGTGGTGTTCGCAATATTCTTGATCATTGCTCGGTGGCTGATCCCTTGTCTAGGTGAAAGACTCTCTTCCTCGCCCACGGCCTCGGCCTCTGCCGCGGCCTCGGCCTCGGGGCGTGTCAATCTGGTAGTTATGGTATCCTAAGAAATTGCGCCCTTCGTGATGCGTATACGTACCGCTCTCACGCGTCTTCTTCTGGACCGGAGGTGTCGCTTGGGCTTTCTCGGTTTTCTCGGCTCGGGGCACCGGCTTCGTTGGCTCATGCCTCTTTGCGAGCAGCGCCATCTCTTTTTCGTGGGCGACAAAATCCGAGGCTCGATGCAGCGCGTCGCGAATTGTTATCGGTTTAGACAGGTTCAACTCTTTCCTGAATTCTGACTTGTACCAAAGAGCTTTCTTCAAAGCCGAAAGAGCGGCTACATCCGTAATTCCTTCGACCTTGGCTAGCGTAGATTTGAAGGTTGTGAGGAAATCTCTTAACGGCTCGGTGGGCTGTTGAGATAGGGACCACAGGTCCGCGTCAGAAGTTCCGGGGTCGATGAGCACGGAGTATTGCTTGAGGAACAGTGTCGACAGCTCGTCGAAACTGTCAATCGAGTTACGTTCCAATTTTGAAAACCACTCTAATGCTGGTCCTTTGAGGTGTTCCACGAATAGTAAGCATAGACCTGCATCCTTCTCCCCGGGCTTGAACCTGGCTCGGGCCACGGATATCACGAACGATTTAATGTGACACTTCGGGTCGGTTGATCCGTTGTAAGAGTCGATTTTGAACTTCCCCAGATTGGACATCGTCGTTTCGGAAATTCTTTTGGTGAAAGGCGTATTCCGAGATTCTTCCAAAATTCGGTCGATGTTAGGTGCAGAGGATGAAACGCTATGTATCTGGGTTTTGACGAGCTTCATATCAGCTTCCGCCTTGGCTAGGGAGGCTCGGATGCGCTCGTCTTGCAAATCATCTGGCTCGTCCGTCAAGTCCACTGCGTTTGGCTCGGTGGGATCATCTTGGTTCTCGCGTCTGGCAGGGTCGGCTCGGGTTGCGACTCTGGTGTTGTCGGTTGGTGTCGCGAACGTGAGTCTTGTTGGGTTGATGCCAGGCAAGTCCCTCCGAGCTCGTGGCGGCCGAGTCTGGAAACGCGTGGTTTTTGGTTGCCCACGTGTTGCGATTTCGTCGACTCGTTGCGCCAAGGTTTTGTTAGCTTTCTCTTGGTCGTCAACTTTCTTCTGGAATTTAACCATCAGGTCTTTCAGTTCGGCTAGGGTCGCTATAATCGTCGTATCGGCTTGAGGATTTTGAGGGTTCGGAGGGTTAGGGTTCCCTCCTCCGGCTGGTGGTGTCTGACGACCATCTTCGTTCATCGTCCTTTTCGGTAATCGAGTTCTGCGTCTTAGGGTAAGAGAATTCCCTAGTATTCCCCACAGACGGCGCCAAACTGTGGAAGTCGAAACTAACACAATCGAGATTTGTCTAGAGTTTTAATTTAGGGATACGATTCGCGAGAATTCTCAAAGAACGATAGAATCAATTGATACCAAAGATGGTGTTCTTGATATTATTAAGAAAAAGATGACTTGGATCGTACAAGAGTTTGATCGTAAAAGAAAAAGATGTTTGTGCTGTGAGAGCTTTGCGTAGTGTAAATTCTAGAGCGATCTTGCTTGCCCCTCTGCGAGAGCCTTGAGTCTCTTTTTATAGGGGTGGTAAACCGCCTCTCCAGCGATATTCTCGGAAGATTTCCATTTATCTTGAAGTCGGCTTAGAATATCGCGGATTTAGGATAGTTTCCTTATTCTTCGGAGTTTCTTGGAAGATTTCCCGATTTGAGTTGATCCTTTGAGATTCTTCCTTATCATTTCCGGGTCTATCGGAAATGATCCTTCTTTTTCGGACATGACGTCTTGCTTGGAAATGATACTTTGAAGACGAATATTTACTAAGTCTTTGTCTCGGGTGACGATGAAGACTTAACCTCGGGTAACTTGATTAATCGGCTCGGAGATAAGAGATGCGCAGCTCGGGCTTCCGAGGGAAAGCGGCTCGGGCGCACAGAAGGAGCCAGCTTGGGCATCCTGGCATGAACCAGCTCGGGTACTTGAAGAGAGCCGGCTCGGGTTCACAAGCTGGCTAGCAGATCCCGAGCAGGCTACGGACGTTTCCCGAGGCGATCGTTGTACTGGCCCGAGGTGAATGGCACCTTGCACCGAGGTGATGGCTCGTTTCCTCCGAAGTGGTTGGTACGCTTCCCCGAGGTGATCCTCAGAAGTTCCCCGAGGCGTCCGAATCCGGCTCGGTGCTAGGGATGGAATCCGACCCCAACATATGGTTTCGAATTGCCATCGCACTCCCACCTATTAGGTAAAAGCTTAGGATTGTATGGGACCATTTATCTATTTTGATTTACAACAAGTCTCATTTTGGGCAAACTCCATCTCCGAAAAGGTTGACCTGAATGTTGGCAATACCCAATGAGTTTTTTTTTTTCTTTATATATATATATATATATATATATTTAAGTTATGTGATGTAAAACAATATTGAACAAGATCAGAATTTTCATGCCTTAGTGCTGGAGCTTTGTTTTAGTGAAAGTATGCATTAATTTGAGATATATATCTAAGTACTAAAGTCTAACTTCTAGAAAAATGACAAAAAAAGAGTTGTCAATTATCTAAATGCACACTACTATAGTCTCTTATATCTTGGTATATTCTGGAAAAAAAAACAATGTACAATAGTTTACTTTGAGAAACCATTTCATTTTTTAAAAACAAAATAAATTTTAATTATTCCCACGCATCGCGTGGATCTCCTTCTAGTATATATATATAGCAACAAAATCAAAAGTCAGTCAACCTTGAAAGTGTACGCGGTCGATCTTGTTAACTTGGATCAGAAAAATCAACGTTGTTACGAAGATTCAAGGCAAACAAATTCAAAACGTTCTGCGTATACACCAAGTTTAAAATTAGCATCACGAAATTAAATTTAGCAGCTTAAGGGGTGCATTTGTTAAGATTAAATTTAATCCCACGAATATAACATAGTAATACTTAAAAGCAAAATTAAGGAGATAACACATATCAAGATTAAATACCACATATCAAAATCCTAATTAATTAAGAAACCTTGACTTGAAACATATCAAAATCAAGAGAAAATTACTTGAATTTTGGACAAGAGAATGTCGAGATTACTTGTGTCTCTGATCTACAAGTATTAGGTATTGGATAGTTACAGTTATAAACTTGATATATATAGCAACAAAATCAAAAGTCAGTCAACGTTGAATTTGAAAGTACGTGGAATAAATGTCGATGATCTTGTTGGTGGTTGGGACTCATAATGTGGAGCAGAAATCAAATTCAATGTAGCTACGTACGATTATAACTACTGAAATCAATTGTCAAAAAAGAGAACTCATAATCTGGAGAAGAAAATACAATCTAGTTAAGATTATAGCTACTTAAATTAAATAGTCAAGTCAACCTTGTAAATGTGTGACAAAGAATCAATCTTGCTACACGAGATTTTGAATCGAAACTTACTTCTTCTTCTTTCAATCTTATACAGTATAAAAATATCCTTGTCTTGGGCAAACGTGAACCCAAAACATGCCCCATTGGGCATTAAAGTCATGTTCTGAACAACGAAAAGCAAAAACATTAGCCGTTACAGAACTCTGTTCATCAAAGTCTCGACCTTTCTTAAACTGTATAACTTTAGAAACTCATTATTCAAAAATTTAAAACATGGGTTTTGCACACAACAAACATCAGTATAAAAGGCACAACAAACATCAGTATAAAAGGCACACAACAAACATCAGTATAAAAGGCACACAACAAACATCAGTATAAAAGGCACACAACAAGCACCAATTAATATGAAGATAGTCACCACTCTCCTTTCAACGATGACTTGTTCGATATCGTGTTCTTCGAACTCTGCATCGAGAGATTTTCGGACATTGATGACCCATTGAGCTTCGTCTTAGCTATGTTGATCAGTTGGTTTTCTAGGCAACATGATCTTTCATTTTAGAAGCAAAACAAGATCTTGTAAGAAGAGGAAACAGTTTTGTTTTTGGCAGTTTTGATTTCGTCACTCTGTTTCAGTTGTATTAAAACGGTCTATTAAGTTTCATCTTTGTTGTAGTAATAAAACGGTCAGTTTCGATTAATCCTCATTTACTTTTTATCAGTAACATAATAAATGAGATTTGGATACAATGCAATGATCATACAAGTACAAAGTAACTCATTATTCAAACATTCAAAATATGGGTCTTGCACACAACAAACATGAATATAAAAGTATTACCACATAGTACATTGATAGTTACCACTTTCCTTTCAATTAAGCTAAATTGCTTATGTGTTCCAGAACATCAACTCTTCCCTCAGCGACCACTTTGCTACACCTAGCCACATTTGTACCAACTTCCTCGATTTTGTCAGCAAAACCTTCAACATCCTTAATGATTTCTTGCATCACAAGTTTCACGGTCTCCTCTTCTCTTTGCTCCACAGCATCATCTACAGTCTCCAAGATCGGCTTGATCCTTGTTATTAACGTCTCAACTAGGCTCTTTATCGTCTTTGCCGATTCGATGTTGAGTTTTGCATTTTTATCCATCGATTGAAACAAACCAGTAAGTTTCTTGTAAGCAATCTCAGAGTCCTCGAGCATCTCAGTGACCCATTTCCATAAAGGTCTAATACTCGGTGTTGCCACTCCAATCACAACCTTAGCTGCTACCACAAGTGAGACTGCTCCAAGATAAATCCATATGGCGAGAACAGAGAAAAGTGCAGCCGCGAATCTCCTGGATTTCTTGTCATTCTTATGCTTCTTCTCAAGCTCTAGTTGCATGTCACGGGACTTGTTTAAAAGCATAAGATGCTCGTCGAAGATAGCCTTGTACTGAGTCGTGAACTCGTCACCAAAAGGATCTCCCATAGCTTTAACCTTATTCAGCTTCTCTAACGTTCCCGCGTACTTATTGTTTCCTCCAAAATCCGTGTCCCTCGACTCTCTTTCAAACTGTCGGATCGCAAGTCGAATGTTGAACGTGGTGGTTTTTGCGTTCGCGACGTATTTCTCGACGGTATTGAATAAATTCAAAGTCTTGTTGGTACGATCTCAAAATAGAGATCAACCACAGACTTTACTTCTTTGTTCTTCGAGAAATCATATTTGCTTTCTTTAATGATCTTGACCACATCTTGGCTTGAGACACCTAGAAATTCGCTGATCTTGATGATTGAGTCCTCCTTGGATGGTTTTCCAGTCTTGCCTCCTCGACCGGTGACCGTTTCCATCAATTTGTTCATTCGTTCGTGAAGCACAGAAATATAGGATCTGAGCTTTGGATCTTCTTTGCAAGCGGATTTGCAAGAACTCAGGACACGATCAGAGATAATTCCAACCAACGCCGCCATTGATATTATACTGGAGCTAGCCTGGAAAGGAAGAAAATTAAAGGCAAAGATTTCAGAATATTTTGCATACACCAAGTTTAAGTAAATATCACTGGAAATTAGCAGCTTAACAAGGGTCCATTTGTTAAGACTAATTTAATTCCGTGAATATAACCTTGTAATACTTATATAACAAATATCAAGATGAGATGAGGTTGAAGAAAGAGAAATTACTTGAACTTGGTTACGAATCTTGCTCAAGACAGGAGAATGTTGTGTGTCTGATCTACAACTGTTAGGTAATGGATATTACAATTATATAAGCAAAAAAACAACTAAAGTCAGTCAACCTTGAAAGTACGTGGAAAAAATAGTCGATCTTGTCAATGCGGACAGAAAATTCAACGGTTAACGATTTTATTAGAATTCAACCTTGTAAATAAATGTGTGGCATAGAGTCAATCTTGTTGTCACATCGGTTTAGAAGCATAGAGCATGTTTATCAATGAACTTCATAAAATATCATTAGCATTAGTTCTATTAATAGTTTATTCTTTGAGAAATTAACGGTGTCAAATAGATCACTGAGTGATCCAAATCAAAGAAAAATGATCCCCAAAATTATTTTTTTAATTGATTTAAGTCTATGATACTCTATAATATCATGACTAAACATGCTCTCTTGAATCGAATCTTCCATGACTACATAATAAGAAACAACTTTGTTTTTGGCTGTTATAATATCGGAAAAATGTCAAAAAAATCATGAACTTTCAAATTTGGGAAAATTTCGGCCCAAATCCTACAGAAGCTGAGCCGATTCAAATCCGCAGCTGCTGCTTGACTCAGTCGCCGTGACCGCCGAAACGGAATTCTTCTCTTCCCCCCACGAGTTTTAGCCATCATCAGTCGGAATTTCAACAGAGGGAAGCGAGAGAGAGATTGGGATTCTAGGGTTAGAAAATGAAATCGAAGCGTCTAAAATGGCGAGTCAAACAAACTTCGCTAATTAATTGTAAAGTCAACAAAAACTTTATGATTTAAATGTCTTCATCGTAGTCCAAGATTAAATCGTCCCAAATTTGAAAGTTCATGATTTTTTTGACATTTTTCCCGTTATAATATCAACAAGATTAATAATTTATATATATATATATATATATATATATATATTTATCAATAAAATTCAAGAAATAATTTGCCAAATAACAATAATTGGAACAATAATAAACCAAGTAACTAAAACCTCGAGGAATCAATCTTGGAAATTACGAGAAAAAACATCCGACTTTGTATGGACAAAAAATGCAATGTGGAGCAGAAACTGCGAGGATTCAATCTTGGAAATTACGAGGAAAAACATCCGATTTTGTATCGACAGAAAATGCAATGTGGTTAAGATTGTAACCTCAAATCAGAAGTCAAGCCAACATTGTAAGTTGTAAATGTCTGGGAAATAATCAAAATCTTCTTGCAAATCGAATCTTTCTTCTTCTTTTAATCTTAGAGTATTTAGCAAAAAAAAAAAGTCAACTCTGTTTTTGGCTGTTACTTTCATTTTTGTCGCGGTAATAAAACGGTTAGTTTCTAGTATTTAGTTTGTCTTTTGTAGTGAAAAAGTTTATCTTATTACTGGATAAAAAAAAGCCTATTCGTCTTGTGAATATACAAAGCTATCTTCACTAGAAATTTTTATTCATCTTGTGAATATACAAGACTATCTTATTACTGGATAAAAAAAAATCTATTCGTCTTGGAATTTTTTAAGGGGTTTTTGCAAAAATACCACTTTTTCAATGCCACTTTTCAAAAATACCCCTTTTTAAAAACCTTATAAAAAATGCTCTTAAAAATATAAGATTTACCCAAATATGTATGTAATATTATTAAAACATACACAAACTACATTTCTATGTATCTAAAATATTATAAATGCATTTTAAATACCTTTAAAAACCTTTAAAATATCTTGTAAAACTTTTGAAAAACCTTAAAAATCCTTTAAAATAACTTGTAAAACCTTTAAAAACACCTTATAAAACCTTATAAATACTTGGATCGAGTCTTCAAGTAGTAGTTACAATCCATAAGTACCTTATAAACCTAATAAAACTTTATAAAAATTTCAGATTAAAAAAGGGGCATTTTTGAAAATGGACATCTAAAAGGGGCATTTTTGAAAAGGGGCACACCAAAAAGGGTATTTTTAACAATTTCCCATTTTTTATAAATACTTTAAAATTTATTAGAAATGTGAAAACTACATTCAATTTTATACTATTTTGAAAACTACAATGTGTAGTTTTCAAAATAGTATAAAATTGATCATAATAACCTTTTATGTATTAAAAAAATTATTTAAATAAAATAAATAATTAATAATTGAACTAAAATTCGTAATTATTTGATTTAATAATAAATAATTAATAAAATTAATATACTATATTTAAAGGAGTGTTCTAAAAACCAGTATGGACGGTTGCCTACATCCCGCCTAGGCGCTAGGCGGTCAGGTGACGCCTAGACGACCGCTTCGACCACCTAAAATCGCATAAGTTTAGATTTAATGTAATTTTTCAATTTTCAACTTCATAAATTTAAAATATAAATATTAGCTCTATATATATTGTTTTGATATGACTTAAATAAAAACTTTTGTCTAATTTTTATTTCGATTTAAGATTTTTTTATTTTTCTAATAAATAGTTTTATATGATTTTTACGTATAATATTATATTTATAATGTGTTTTGATATAAACGTCTGAACCGCCTAAATCGCTTAGACCCCGATTAGGCGTTCTAGGCGCTAGGCGTTGGGTCACCGCCCGCTTAGCGCCTATCACTTTTTTTGTACTCTGATTTAAAGTAATCATTATCTCGTTTAAAAATTTATATATAAGTTGATAATATTAATATTATTTAGATTTATAAATTATTCAAGAATAAGTAATTCAAACCTATATAATTTATAATAAATAAACTAAAAATCTGTGTACATATATTTTTGATATTTATTGTTAGACTTATTTTATTCTATATAGATTTATTTTTAAGGTTGATATTTTGAACTATCGATTTATTTTTCACTTTTGTTGATTTAATTTTTGTCTCCATCGACTTGATTTAAAACAGTTAACTTATGTTATGGCCGGTTGATTTATAACATAGTCAAGTTTTTGAACTGTTGACTTACTTTTTTTTGTTCATCGATTTTTAATTTAATCTGTAGACTTGGGTGAACGACCTGTGTCCCCCCACGAAGTTTTATATAGTACCATAACAACACAGATTTCGGGTCTCGTCTCCAGTCCACACAAAACGAAAGTTAAACTCCAGTTTCCCCCTAAATTGAAAGTTCGAGACTTCAGTCTCCATAAATTCAAATTTCGTGGTTTATCATTGGTTTACTATGCCAAACCCGATGCCAAACCAAAACCCAGAATAATAAACCGATTTGAAACCCAATTTCACGATCGGTTTACTCCAATTTCATTGGTGGTTGAATGAGAGATCGACGGTGGCGTTTTCCGGGATTTCATCGGCGAAACCTGACGGAATCTCGCCGGAGATTCTGTTGTTCGAAGCGTTGAAATAGCGTAAACGATTCCCTCTGAAACGTGACGGCAACGAGCCTTTGATGAGATTTGACGACAGATCAAGATACTCCGTCGACTTGAAACCACCCGAAATCTGGCCGGAGAAATAATTGTTCTTCAGTTGTGAATTTAAATAATTATGTAGATACAGTAATCAGTTGTTCAATAACATATTTATACTTTTTATCATCTCCAATGAGGACGCCACCCACGTTCTCTGTTCGTTAGCCATCACACTGTCAAATGGCAGCTTATGCCAATCTTCTTCCTTGCTTTCAGTTCATGAACTTCATCTCCAATGGAAGCCCATTTCTTTCTCCTCTTTCTCTCTCTCATTCTCCTGTTTTTGCCCAAACCCGGATCCGGATTTGGATCCTCTGGCCCAATCGCGGCGGCGTTCGGTGGCTCTGCTTTCTTCTGCGCCATTGATGCTAGTGGTCGTCAAGATGTTATCTGCTGGGGTAAAAACTATTCATCTCCATCTTCTCCGTCTTCTTCTTCTTCTTCCTCGTCTCTTGCTTCTTCTACTTCTGCAAGCTACAACATTCCGTCCATGGCGGCTCTTTCAGGTGGAGACGGGTTTCTCTGCGGCATTTTGTCGAACACTTCTCAGGCGTTTTGTTTTAGTTCACTTGGGTCTTCTTCAGGTATGGATCTTGTCCCTCTCGCTTACAGGACTACTGCTTACTCTCAGAGCAACCATAACCCTTCATGTATTTCTTGACGGCTCTTACTTTTGGCGAATCAAAGACATCACTTTCGTCTCTCAACTCCGCCTCTTACTCGTGAAATTGGAGTGAACCAGTGAAATTGGGTTTCAAATCGGTTTATTATTCTGGGTTTTGGTTTGGCATCGGGTTTGGCACAGTAAACCAATGATAAACCACGAAATTTGAATTTATGGAGACTGAGGTCTCGAACTTTCAATTTAGGGAGAAACTGGAGTTTAACTTTCGTTTTGTGTGGACTGGAGACGAGACCCGAAATCTGTGTTGTTATGGTACTATATGAAACTTCGTGGGGGGACACAGGTCGTTCACCCTTTGTTTATTCATGGTAGATTTACTTCATTCTACGTTGACTTATTATAAGGTTGATTTTATAAATGTCGACTTAAATTTTATTTTCGTCGACTAAATTTATTTCTTTCGATTTATTTTAAAATAGTCGACTTATATTTTGTTTGATTGTTTTTTTTTTATGTAGTCGACTTTTTGAAAAAGTTGACTTATTTTTTTGTTTGTTGAATTATAATTTTTTCCGTCGATTTGTTAATTCTTGGTAAACTTATTTCATTTTACGTTGATTTATTAATAATGTTGATTTTTTGAACTGTCGACTTAGATTTTAGTTATGTTGACTTTTTTTTTTGTTTTCTATTAACTTATATTAAAAGAGTTTACTTATATTTTGGTTAATTGGTTTTTTACATTGTAGATTTTTTTTACTTGTTGACTAAATTAATACAATAAAACCACTAAGAGTCTCTCCAGCAGTGACACATCAGCTTTTTAAGCTATTGTGAGACTGACACATTATTAAAAATGATATCCAATCAAAACATAACAATTAATACAACTCATCTCTAGCATGGCACATCAGCTTTCATGTTTGCCACATCTATTTATTTTAAAAAACAACAATTTAAAAAATTAACCAATCAAATTAAAACATATAATACACATACTTATTTTTTATCTTTTTAATAATGATACATAGATTTCTAATTTGTTCAAAGAAAAAAAAATCAAATTATAAATAAAATAAATACACATCAGCTTATGTTGACAAATAAACAAAAAAAAATATTTTTATTATTTAGTGGAATTGATCAAATATCTAAATATAAACTTTATATCTATAGTTATTTTTACATAACAAATTTATATTAAAGACATTTATAATAAAAAAAAAAATTACTATATAACTCAACAATCAACATGTTCCGATTCAGTTTACACATAAATATTTTTATATAATCACGTCCACCGAAATTTTGATTTTGAACTACTAGAACTTGGTTTAATAACTATATTCTTAATCAAGCCACTAATCACAAGATGTATATAATCACTTTTATTACTTTTTGTCTTACTAGAAGCTGATATTTCATTTTAAAAGTACAATCCATCAAATTAAACTAAATAATACACATAAGCTTTTATTAACATGGACAAAATTTATTAAATAAAATTTATAAAATCTCTTAATTGGACGAAAATTTCATATTCCTAATTGTAAGGATTGTTAAATTAATAGATAATATAAATATAAATATATCTAATTATACTAAATCAACAGTCACTTTTTCAATAACTGCAACATTATCTTTCTGACACGTGGCAAAACTCTCAAATTTTGCTGTTTCACGTTTGTAATTTTGTAATCCAACTTTATTATTCTTAAAAAATAATTGACAACAATTTTTTTTAGCACTTTCTTAGCAACCGCTTTTTCCCCCACGATCTCCAAATCATCCCCTCTTCCAAACTTTCTCTAACTTCTAATTGACGAACTTGGTGTCGTCATCCATATAAAATAGTGTAATGAAAGTAAAAACTGCAACATTAACTTCTTCTTCTTTCTCATAATCTTAGATCTGACTATATAAACAAAATAATGATGTTCATTGAGTAATGATGTTCATAATGATGTTCATTGAGTATATCAAATAATGATGTTTGTATATTATAGTCTGACTATATAAACAAAATAATGATGTTCATTGAGTATATCAAATAAAAGAGGAATGAAAAAAAGTAATAGTGAAAAATATTTCTATTTTATCTATGTTTATACGGTGTAATTGCGTTATTAAATAATAGTAAAGTAGTGTTTCCTTGATTTTCTGCTAACATCGAGATTGTGGGTTTTTGGCTATCAACCCTCAGTTACGAAAATGAGTAAAAAATTTACAAAATCCAATAATATGATTGGAATAATAAATTTATATTAAAATTATGGTATAAAATAAATTATAAGTTATCATTTTAACAAATCAATGTATTTTAAATGTTAAAAGAATAATATAAAAAATTAAAAAGTCTATGTTAAATATTTTAAATGTGATTCAAATTATGGTTGTGCACCATGTATATTTTTAATGAAAAGAAAGTAAGGTTCTTGAAATATAATAGTCGCTGAAAATTATATACATATAAAAAGAAATCAGATATTTGTAAAACGTTATACATATTATAAACATAAAACAAAACAAAAAAACAAAAACAAAAATTGACTATACAATATATTTATTTTATAAAGTAATATCTAACATGTATTTATTAATGTATGCATATATAATAAAATAATAAAATAAAAACTATTAAAATTTGAGTAAATGTAAAATACCCAATTCTAGAATCATTTCAAACTTCTACCAATCATACTTGTTATTATATTAAAACAAAGCTAATTTACAAAAAATACCCCGCGGCAGAGCGCGGGTTCTTTATCTAGTTTCTTTTAAATCGAGCTGGTTATTTTTGATAATTATATTTAGATTTCTATTTTTGTTAAAAATTTGAATCTAAATTATTTAACTTCATTGGAACAATAATAAAACAAGTAACCAAAACCTCGAGGAATCAATCTTGGAAATTACGAGGAAAAACATCCGATTTTGTATGAACTAAAAATGCAATTTGGAGCAGAAACTGCGAGGATTCAATCTTGGAAATTACGAGGAAAAACATCCGATTTTGTATCGACAGAAAATGCAATGTGGTTAAGATTATAACCTCAAATCAGAAGTCAAGCCAACCTTGTAAGTTGTAAATGTCTGGGAAATAATCAACATTGAATTTTCTTCTCCACATTATGAGTCGTGACAAGATCTACATTATTTCCGCGTTGCTTCAAGGTTGACTGACTTTTCATTTTGTGTCTATATAACTGTGACTATCCAGTAGCTAATACTTGTAGATCAGTGACACAACATTCTCTAGTCTTGAGCAAGATTCTTATCCAAAGTTGAGGTTATTTTTCTCTTCCTTCAACCCAATCTCATCTTGATCATCCCATGAACCTTGCTTTTAAGTATTATTACTATGTTATATTCGCACGGTATTAAATAAATCTCAAGCAACTTAAGCTTGATTGCTAATTTTTATGATGCTAACTTTAAACTTGATGTATGCAAAATCTATCTTGCCTTTAAATTTTCTTGATTTTTTTTTTTGTTTGGTTTTCCTTTCTAGATTAGCTCCAATATAATATCAATGTCGTCGGTTCAAGAGGTCTGCAAGATTCTGGCTGACCTAAGCCAAGGTGTGGCCAATACCATTACTGAAAACGGCCAACATGTATCGAAGAACGAAGAACTAAAGTCTATAGCTAATCTCTATTTCGAGAATACCACCAAGACTTTGAATTTATTCAACAATTTCATGCACACGGACGAGTTCGCGACACAGTATGAGTCTGTTTACAAGGATCATGTCATGCTTTTAGAAAAGATCCGTGAGCTAGAAGTAGTGCTCGAGAAGAAGCATAAGCATGCAAAGACAAGTAGGAGAGTGGCGGTTGGTTTTCTCGCGGCTCTGTCTCTCCCTGTTGTCGCCATAGTGGTAGTAGCCGCATCAAATCCGGCGTTTGGAATGGCTGGCCAAGCAGGGGAAAAGTCCTTCGAGAAGATGAAGAAGATCTATGAATTGACGAAGAAAGTAGAGAATTCTAAGGAGACACTGTTAGGTTTGTCTCTGTTGATTGGAAACAGAACAGAAGTCAACATTGAAGCGATGAAGACGATAAAGAGCCTAGTCGAGTGTTAAGCCACAATTGAAGATTAAGTATTTAGTCTTTAATTATTGTGTTCTATGCAAATAATGGTGTGAATGGCTTCCCAATTTGTAATAGAACCATATTACCACTCTCTCATTTCTTTGTTGTTTGTTTCTTGTATTTGGATTTTTGTTGTCGTGATGAAGAAGAAAGTAGCTTGTGAATTTGTGATTATTGTGGTGGGTTTTGATTTGGGGTTTATGTAGAGAAGTGAATGAGAGATTCAAATGATTTAGTTCTGTTCACATTTTTTCTCAACATCATGGGTCCAAACAAAGTCCACATTTTTTTCCTCCTAGTTTCCTAGATGGTTCTTGGTAGTTTCCAAGATGATTCCTCTGCTCCATAGTTGATTTTTATATATAGATCAGACGACACTCAAGTATATCTAACCTCTAACGAAAAGATAATATATATTTTATCCTTAAAAAGAAAAAGCAAAAAAAAAAAAAAAACTTTTGGAATTTTCCTATTCGAAAAAAAGTCTGATGAGCCAAACGTGAAACCACAAACTCACTTCACACTTCACACTTCACACTTCTCACTCTCTCTGCCTTCCCCAAACCATTTCCACAATAATTTCAAAAAAAAAAAAATGTTCCCTTCGAAAACCCTAACACTCCTCGTGTTCTCCGCCTTGACACTAACCATCACAAGCTTCCACAAAACCGTAGCCATAGGCGGAGACGGCGGAGGAGGTAACACCAACAATATCTATTCCCCATGCTCCGACACCAGAATCCAAAGATCCGACGGATTCACATTCGGAATCGCATTCTCTTCTCGTCCTTCTTTCTTCTTAAACCAAACGGTTCTTCTCTCTCCCTGTGACCGTCGACTTTCCCTCGCCGCCATGAATTCACAGTTCTCTCTCTTCCGTCCTAAAATCGACGAGATCTCTCTCCTCTCCATCAACACCTCCGCCTTCTTCCCGGTAAGTTTAAATTCGTCAAATTTTGTTTATTTAATAAAATCGAATTAGTTTAGTTAAATCACATTTTATTAATCTCTGTTCAGAGTATAGATTTGGTTGACTTTGGTTTCTTTGAAGATTTAGTGTTGACCTCACTCGATTACCACTAATAATAGTAAAAGTACCAGATTTGGTTTTATGTGAAATTATTATGCAAAAATGGTAATAAGTATACTTGAATTGGTAGTGAATTCAGATTTGGTGAAGTATGATTTGACCATTCATGGACCCTTAATTTGTGGATGTATAATGTCTTCAGGACAACTATGGTGGATATATGGTGGCATTTGCGGGTCGAAAATACGCAGCGAGGTCGATTCCGGCTTTTATTGCTAACAGCACATTCATCGTTACGAGTTTTACTTTGGTAAAGCCTTTTTTGTATATCATATCTTATACATGTTATGTATAGATTCGTCAAGAGATCTTATTTATGGTGTTGTTGTGATTTTTAAGGTGATGGAGTTTCAGAAAGGTAGGCTTCAGAATCTGTATTGGAAGAGAGACGGGTGTGCGTCGTGCAAAGGGAATCAAAATTTTGTGTGTCTTAACAAGCAAGATTGTGCGATAAGAACACCAAGCTGTAAAGGCCGGGGAGGTTCGGTGGATTGCAGTCTCGGGATTCAGTTGGCGTTTTCCGGCACTGATAAGCACTTGGCGGTTCTCAACTCGTGGTATGAAGTTGAGAATCTTAAGCAGTATTCTCTTTATGGTTTGTATTCAAACCTCAAGAGCTCTTTAACCAATCAGTTCAATAATTTCTTCTGAGCTTCTTGAGGAGTTGTGTTTGTTTGTTTGTTTGTATCACGTAAGTTCATCTCTTTGGTTACTCTCTAATGGTTTATGGAATGTAACACGAAATTGCAGAAGTAGTTATGGTTTGGTTCAACCACTTGTATTCAGAGTTAGTCAAGAGTCGAGCCATAGATACGTATTCGTAACACCATCGAATCAAATGTGTGTTCTCTTCTCTATGAAACCTGCAGCTTTCAGACAAAACTCTGGCAGCTGTATATACCAATACAATGAAAATTTATAGTCCTGTAATATTACATGTCTGATTTCTAGTGACAACACTTCATTTCTCTTCTCAAGATCTTTGTCAATAACAGCTTCTCCTTGGCCAGTGTTTGCCTCATCTTGTGGCGTTTCTGGTTCCAACGCAAAGACAAATATATCCTTGAATCAAGACTTTTAAATATGTGCTTTTCTTGATTGCTTTATTCTATTTGACTATGTTGATGAAGCAAGATTGGTGACACCGAAGTACAGAGTCTTCTGGTTGAAAGCATTCATGGCATAGTCAACCTGAAGGTGACCCAATGGAGACTTGAACCGAAGCCCATACCCGAATCCATACCCATACCCTGGCTTCCCTTGTCTCATCGAAGGGTTTCCTGAAACCAATTCCGCAACAGCTTAATCAAATTTGTGTCCAAACAATTTCTTGGATTGGAGCAGGAAAAGTGAGCTTACCAGGGACAAGGCGGCTTGAGCCTAGGTCTGTTCCACAATCCAAGAAGATGGTCCCTTCTGTCATCTTGTTCTGTACACAAAAAGGAACCAAAGCTCAATTAGAGCTTAACAGGGGAAACCATTTGATGGTTCTGAAGACACAAATATGCAACAGCTCCACGTACCAAAGGTACCGCCAATTCTGTATTGGCAACAAGGCATGATCGCCCGGATCCAACAGCACCCTCACCATATCCCCGAACACTGCCTAGCCCACCAATGGCAAATGCTTGATAAGGTGCCATGTCTCCTACAATTGAACCACCTGTCAAGCTGTCACGGAAGAGGTAAAAACCAACGCAAAACTAGGATATCTTTACAAAGCATTTCCTACACGTAGTTGTTTACATAGAGTATGTAAGATTCTGTCAGTACCTTGCTAAGAGAAAAGCCGGTCCAAACCTGACACCTTTTGATGCAACAAATTTGAAACGGTTGAAGATAAGCCACTTGGACACAACCGGAATACCTTGTTCTATTTGCATGCTAAACTGAAAAAGCAAGAAACCAGTACGAAAAATAAGTAACATTGACAAGTTAGTGCAAAAATGGCCGTGTGGTTTGCCTAGGCTAGAAACAGAAATGAGTCTCTTACATGAGAAAGACCTTGGTCAGTAGCCTTTGCAAACCGGGATTCTTGCTTTAAAACTACCATACTGTCATGGGTATTTCCACTGCATAGCAGAGAATTCTACACATGTAAATATCAGTCTTATGCTAGCGCTTTAAGGAAACAAATTAAGGGAAGCGAGATCCAATATCACCTGCATGTTATAGGAAATCCGTCCAGATCTCTGGTTATCGCGCGTCCGTCATCGTTAATCGGACGCACATGCTGCACCAATGGAAAATAACACTCTTTTACCCCAAAGCAAAAAACAGCAAAGAGAAAAATATTGTTCTACAATGTCTGAAAAAGGTAATGTGCGGGTACCTCAAACTTTACGCTGGTTGTGCTGCTCCATTTTGAACTCGCTGGCTCACTCAAGTCTAAACCAACAGCCAATTTAGAAAGATTTACACCTCCACTCCCTGACCGAGAAAAGTTGTCAACTGGGGTGCCATGGACCCCTATCTCGGGCGAAAGAGAATGCTGTACCAGATAAAAAAAAATTTGAATGTACTTAACATAGCATAATTTGGAAAATTCACTTTCTAAGATAGCTTCACAGATCAGTTGAGTACCTGTATGAAGAAGCACTGTTGCGGACGCCATTCAGGTCTAGGTCTCCTAAAAGCCACCAGTACATTGGAATCATACAACCCTTTATCCCATGATACATCAAGCTTCTCGCTTCCTCCAAACAAATTTGGATGTTTGATACAGAGGCTGCAACAAACACACCCAAATGAACACTTTAATCGAAAAGAAAAATATGACCATTTCAGTTCGGCAGATTTTATAAAACTGTAGCATTAAGTCACAAAACTTGCCTGCCAATCACTAGAGAAAGAGGACTGCTAGTGTCCCTGTTCAAACAGCAACAAACTGAAATTTAGTATCAACACGGAAGCTAAAGGTGGTACAATTTCATGAGGATTGGTTAAAAATGTAAGTAAAGTTAAGGAATGGATGATGAGAGCAAACCTGAAAGCAGGAAACATTAAAGAAGTACAAAGCTTGTGAGTGAAATCCACATTAACATCAATCTTGGCTGCAATCAACAACACAAGAATATCAAAATCGATGCCGCCGCTTGAAAACCACATTGCAAACCAATGCGATCTTAATCTTTCACTAAATTCAACAGCAAGACATATCCCACATGATGAGTTAGTAACACAATGGTTCAGAAAACGTTAATGTATCCTACAACTATCTAATAGAAAGATCAAAATCGATCCTTTTTCTCGAAAAACATCAATGAAAGCCACATATCAAACCAATCCGATCATAATCATAGACTCACTAGTCACTACACTCAAAAGTCTTAGAAAAATGTTTCCTTTTACAAAAAAAAAACAATGTATACTCATGCCTACAACATTCTAATTCATCAATAACCACACCACATACACATAATCATAACTATGCATATGGAATGAATCATATCAATACATGGGAAATGAAGATAGATAATAGAAGAAACATGGAAACAAATCAAAGCCTTCCATTGGGTATGGTTAAATCCACAATCAAATTCCAGAATTGTACCATTTTCAGCACATGATCACATCAATACTGATCCAACACAAAATCGAAAAATCGAGAGAGTAAAGAGATGGCTTTAGAGGATAGAGTGATGACCTCTACCAGCGTGGATACTCTTCTGAGCTCCCATGGCGATGGAATAAGAGAAGAATCAACCATGAAGAAAACCCAATACAGGAATTGGCATTATACAAGCAATGCCCAGAAAAAGGAAGAGTTTTTTTTTAGTTTCTTCTTCGGGAGTGAATTTGCAGAGAGGTTAAGGATTTGATGCTTTGGATATTTTTAGAGAAGAAAGCAAGTTTGGGTTTATCTCTTTCGTCTTTATTCCTTTTTGGGCTTTATCTACGTGGGCCGTATCTATAATTATCAAAAACAGATTACAACACCACTGAGTTATGAAAAATGTTTTTTTTTTTTTTTTGTTAAAAAGTTTTCTTGAATTAAAAAATACCTAAATACAAAGAGCCTAACATAATACTAGTCTTTTTAACCCGCGGTATTTATTTTTAAAGTTAGTATAAAAATATTTTGTAAATTGTACCTCCTTATAAAATATTTATTTATATTATAGTTTACAATGTTATTAAGTAATAGTATACCAC